CCCCAAAACCCCAAAACCCCAAAACCCCAAAACCCCTTATTAACTTAGAAAGGCTGAAATCTAATTCTTTTCTTTAATCTATTATGGATTGGAATATTTTGAATTCAAATCTTATTGCAAAGTAATAGATTCATCGATATTTAGTAAAAGATCATCTCAGACAAGTGTTCCTCCCCTCTATCAAAGTGAGTATATCCTGTTCCATTCTCAGATTCTATTCTGAGCATTTCTTCAAGAAGGTTATTGAATCCTTTTGGATGGGATATTTCGAGTAAGATACTTATTCCTGGTTTGATTTCTCTAATTACCTTTGGTCCATAAGTTCCCATAGTTCTTCTTAAGTCCTCAAGTTGCTCAGTGGTGAAGCTTTGCATAGCATTGATCTCACATCCAGCTTCTTGGATACCACCAAGAACAGTTCCAAGCTTTCCATTCATAATAAGGTCTGGCTTTAACATTAGAATTGTATTAGGATACTTGAATGGATTCCTAGATCAAATATATAAAAGCATGGAAAATATTGATGTAAACTTACCTTTTCATTAAGCTTTGAGGTCTAAAGAAGAATTCGGACTCTCTAGTAGCGCTAGCGTCGCTATCAGCTCCATGTATAGTGTTGATTCTGTTATCAGTTCCTAATTGAGCTCTGATACTTTCTGGGGCGACTTCTCTAGCTTCCTCTGAATTGGTTGGACCTATCACAGTTCTAAAATGTCTGATTGCATCTAGCCTCTTAAGTTGCATTCCAATGATAGGTCCAGAGGTAATGAACTCTCTGAATATTTCAAAATATGGCATGCCAACGTGCTCGTCATAAAATACTTTTGCAATGGCTTTGTTAAATCTAGTCATTCTCAAGTTTCTTATGTAGAAATCTTCTTTGGCTAATCTATCAAAGATTGGACCCAAATTCTGCATCCCATCAGGTTTGATAATGGAGAAAGTAAACTCCTTAGTATACTCTTCAGGAGTGGTCTTTACTACATAGGCAAATGGGCGAACCATTTTGCGCAGGGCTAATCTTGAGCAAGGATTTGCGATCATCTTTACTAAATTATATTATCCCAGTTTAAACTCCCGGTTAAGGGGTTTTGGGGTTTTGGGGTTTTGGGGTTTTGGGGTTTTGGGG